TCATGCTCAACCCATATAAGTAAAGACGGTGTTTGGAAAGACAGCTAAATGTTCTCTCGTTTTAAAGTTGTAGGCGTGGTTGTGAGAAGATTGAATGTAGACAGTGGTGAGAGCCACCTAACATGCTGTGAGTTGTTAAACACATTACACTGTACAAACCCTAAAACTGGTTTTACTGTTGGTTTGTGCATTCCGACTTAGTCACCGCGTACTCGTTTGTACAGAAATGAGAACCCGTGAAGACCCGGGTTATATCTGGTCTTCAGTAACCCATGCTTGTCATAAGAGGCGACTGGCGGGATCAGGTGGTAGGACACACACTGACTTGGTTGATACTTGTCATCGTATCCCAATTGCGCAGATCGATGCTCATGGTGTTGATCAATGGACACTGGAAAAAAAGTCCATGTTTACAAGACATTTCCAATTTTGGAAAGATGATGTTTCCAAAGATTTACAATTTTGGAAATGTCCACAACGGGAGATAACTGGTGGGTGATGGTAAATCATTGTTATTTGCACGCCCCGGGACCTAATCCCTTGTTGATTGATGAGTGAGTCAAGGCAAGTAATAGTCACCAATTAACAAGGCCTACTGCCTTGTTAATTAACAAGTTTTTATGCCTCTTAAAGAAGCCTCTGGAAGTAAGTTAAATCTTTGATGGGCATTAAGAAGTGGAATGCATTACTGTGACCTGATTTTCACCCGATGAAGGAGCACGCATATGCTCCGAAACTTCGTGTTATTCACAATAAAGAAGTTGACATCCATAAATCTTCCATTTCTTATTAAAAAGGTAAGTAATTAAATCTGCTGAGATGTAGGCTGGTTAATCATGTCGCGGTGTGATTATCGCTCTAACACACCTGAGAGATTCGTCAACAGTGTGGTATGCACAGGCAGTGAAACTTGTATTGTATTACATTAGGTTAGTTGCATATTGTTTTGTGTTATGCTGTCAGTTTGTATGTATGTGTGAATGAGGAACCTCACATATTATGACATTGAAAACAGACTTAACTTAACATTTATTCCATGGTCAATATCGCAATGTTAGTGATATGGTAGTATACGAAAGTTTGTTTCACAGTTTTGATCATACCTTCTTTTATGCAGATAAAATTATTTAAAAATGAACGAATAATGCCATGCTTCTCTCAGAGTAAGGGAAGATAATTCATATACTGATTCTGATCAAATTAGATATTTCTTTATCGTCCGAACAGAATTCACAAATTACGGATGTTTTGTGTGGGTGTGGGTGTGGGTGCATGCACGCGTGTATAACATCTAACTTGATAGGTATTAAAATCAGGTCGTTTGTAACCATAATGACTATATTGGTTGGAACACTTGAGGAACAAAATTAATTTCACTCTTCAAAAGGAACTGGAACAGTAACATTTTTCATGTTTTCATATGAGCTTCAAAACATTGAATGAAATAAATGCTGTATGATGAAATGGATCAGAGAACACTATCATGGCATAAATGACGTGTAAATGACACATGTAATGGTCAAAAATATATAATCACTATGTTAGTTAACTCATGACCAGACACGTCAAACTGGTACCGATAGATGTATATCTAATACGTAAAAATTCAGTATTTCTTAGTACCTGAAATAGAAAACACGAATTTGGAATGAGATGTTTTAATCTAGATCAATCAGTTAGGTAGCAGTTTACTAAAGTAGAACTTAAATCAACTTCAAAAGATTGGTCATTCGCAAAGTGAAGCAGATCTCACTTATACTGCAGTAAACAGTATGGGGATACACAACGAAACATACCACTTACGTGATAACAACTTCCCGTTTATTGCATAGAGCGGCATTTCGATGTACAACGTTCAGCATAAACAAGCTGATTGAATTCCATCACTTGGAGAATGAAGTGGATTTCGACTTGTTGATCTTACTCTCCTGTTGGCCCCAACGACGTGCTACTTGTTGAATTACCTGTTGTTAATTTGCTGCTTGTCACTATGCATACATACTTCTATTCACCTGGTTGTAGTAACTTTTATCTTGATAACGGCGTGAAAATATACATGGAAACTCCCCTCTATCGACCTTTGATCCAAACGGATGAGTTAACAGAAATGTTGATGCCCGTCTGTTAGCAAATTAACATTGGATTATAGAGACAACGATACTTAGCATATATACATTGAAATATAAAACACATAAAAAACATAGAAGGCGTAGTAAGCCACGAGTGGTAACGGGAGACTATATGGACATATCTATAAGTACGTTATAAAGATATTAAAGATGAGAAAGAAGAGACGCTGAATCAGCAAACTGTCTAACAGTTAACATTCCATGTTGAAACTGGTGCACCAACGAGGTGTAGGAATAAACTTCTGTTCAAATTGAGCATTAGCCATTTCGAAGTCGCATGTACACTTTCATGCTTCTTCTCATTATATATCCCCATGTAATTAGAGGGGAACTGATCCAGAGCGATTAATGTTTCTCGCCAACAGTCTAATTTCCAAACCAAACTGCAAGCTTGTCGGTATCTGCTCCCTCGACCGTGACGGACACAGGGACTGGGCTTCTGGCCACCTTGACAAAATTTCTTCAACACAAACAGCGGGACATTAGGAAGGGTGGATGCTCATCAGATGCTGTTATTTGAGAATACCCCTGGTAGTTCCTGTCTGATTGCAATGAAGTATCCCAGCAGTGTATGCTTTTCAGATTTTCTAATGCATAGATGGCATAGTGACTGATCCAAGTTGATCTTATTTCTGTGTATTTTTACCTCGATATTTAATCATGCCATGTAAACATATGATGTCTATTACATATTATATTTATGACAAATGAAAATTTACTTAGGTATATGCAGTTTTAACTTCAGTACACATCAAATGCTTATATGTATTTCTTATGCAACAATGAAGTTCCGTTCGTATCCTCCAAACAGTGTCGGCCCATAAGTTTTTTCAGGCAATTAACATTGCATGCAATTCAGCGATTACTACGCCCTTTGCTGTAACCTGTATTTGGTGGTATAAACCTACACATGTTATTTGTCATCATACCACTCAGATTACCCGACAAAGGTTCCCATTTCGCATTTCTTGTGTCTGGAGTAAATACTCAGCATTATGAGTTAAGGTCTGATGTGACAAATGTATTACATGTTATGTAATATGCGCATGGAAAGTTTGTAACTGGGAGAAAGATTAGGTTGTGTTTTAAAATTGATTAAACAGGTAGGTCTTTAAAGTCCATTTGAAAGTGCAGAGATTTTCCATTTTGTTTCAAGTGAACAGGCAGTTCATTCCACAATGTTGCTGCATTGAAGGAAAAGGACCTTTTCCCAAACCATCTAAGCATTGGGTTTGGCACACAGAGCAGACACAGGTCTTCAGATCGAAGTTGTCATGGTGGTTCCTTGCGTTTTGTGAGTTTTGACAGATAGGCAGGAGCAGAATGGTGATAAGCTAAGAATGGTATCATGTATTCAATCCTGGCTTGAACAGGAAGCCAGTGAAGCTGGATTAGAAATGGAGTTATGTGGAATGATTTCTTGCTCCTCATCACAATCCTCGGCTGCTGTGTTTTCAACACGTTGCAACCTCTGGTGGTGCTCATTTGATATGTTGGCCATACTGTTGCAGTAGTCCTTATAACACAAGAGCGCACAAGAGCATGGACCGCATTTGTGGAAGGAAGATGTCTGAGAGCCCTGGTGTTTCGCAGCTGGCAGTGACAGGACCTTGTCGTCTGACTGATGTTTCATGGTCAAGTAGGAAACCCTGGTTCTTGACTTTGTCTGAAAACTGAATGTCAGACTTCCCCCACACATATCTGAGCTTCCTTCACTTTGGCACGATTAGTACGAGTACCCACTAGCAAAGCTTCTGTCTTGCTGTCATTCAGATTGGGCATATTTGTGTTCATCCATTGCTTTATGTCATCAATGCAGACCTCCATGTTTAGACGATTCAACTGAGAGTCATCAACAAGTGATGACCTACCTCATTGACAGCAATCAGTTGACCAAGCTCACACGTATACAGGGTAAATAGAATAGGGCCCAGAACTGACCCCTGTGGAACGCCATACTGAGAACAGTCTGATCTGATGTGTGGCCCTGACAATCACAGATTGTGTTCGGTTGGACAGGTAGGATTCATTCCAGCTGAGGGCGGTTCCAGTCACACCAATGTTAGTCTCCAGTGTTCTGAGGAGTCTTTCGTGGTCTATCGTGGCAAACGCTGAAGACAGGTCCAGGGGTACGAGTAGTCCAACTTGTCCATTATCAACAGCAACTTGCAGATCATTGAGAACACGGAGTAGTGCAGATTTATAGCTATGACCCCTTCTGTATGCAGGCTGAAATTTGTCCATAAGATCATACTGAGATAGATGTGCAGACAGACGGACCTTAACAGAATGTTCCAGGACGTTCGATAGACACAGGTCTGTAGTTTTTGAATTCTGATGAATCCAAGTCAAGCTTCTAATGCAGTCATAATCTACAGATCATGAACTCAGACTTTCTTTAACGATTCCTGTGATAACCGGAGTCAAAACGTCAATATGCATCAAAAGAATTAGTAGCAGTAGTAACGTTGTTAGTAACAAAGTGGCAGTACCAGCAGTCGTTGTGGTGGTACTGGTGACATTGGTGGTGTGAGGTAGAAAAGTGAACATATTTTCTGTGCCTGTCTTTAGACGGAGACATCGTGTGTTACAGTGAGTGAGTTTAGTTTTACGCCGCCTTTAGGAATATTCCATTAATATCAAGGCGGGAAACACCAGAAATATAAGGGGTTCACTCACGGTACCCATGTGTGGAATCGAACCTGGGTCTTCGACGTGACGAGCGAACACTCTAGACTACGCTTGTATGTCACATAACACACGTGGCTATTGTACTGAACAAACATATGACGTATTTTCGTACATGATTGGTTGGTCTGGTCATGTGACTGAAGTGTGTCAGTACATACCTGAGGGACGAGATAACACGCCGCACATAGCTGGTGAGTAGTGCTGATAACTTTACTGTTACAAGATGAAAACTAAATATTTAACCACCTATCAAATGCAGTCATTTAACCTTGCACTATTCAACCATGCGATGAATTATTCTAATATTCTTAAACTATGAACATTTCCATTGCGCATAAGAGACAGCAGGGAAGTTTAATGGTTCAATCCCTCGCTCGTCACGTCTAAGTAAGTGAGTATGGTTTAAGCCGCCTTTAGCTCGTTCGTGACGAGCGAACGCTTTAATCACTGGGCTACCCCACCACCCCTCGTCACGTCTAAGACATGGTACAATGTGTGGAACCCATTTCTGGTGTTCCCCGCCGTGATATTGCTGGAATATTGCTATAAGCGGCGTAAAACTAAACTCACTACTGAACATAATGTAAATGGAAGCTTAACAGTACGTAACGATCCAAGACAAGGAGGCATATAGGAGTTCCAAGCTCAGAGTTACGAATTTCATACGCCTGCCATCGTTGGATGAAGTGTCACACACGTTAAGGTTTAACTGACACTAGTAAGTTGTGGTGTTCTTTTTGACTGAACTGACATAACCTCACATTTATATATAGCTATATCAAAACTCACTTAACATGTACTCATTATACAGGTATGCAAAAGGTACTGCATTCGTATGAAACCACGCGAGAGACTTCCTTTCATGTTCATGAAACCATGAAACCGCGATGTTTAACTTCAACACCACATATTTTCGAAACCATTAACTGATCCTTCCATGACATGTATTAATGCACCTTACCACTGGTTTGGCGCCTCAGTGAATATGTCTTCTAAAAGTGTCTTGAAATTAATTAAAAATAAATATTGAAAACAGTTATATAACTCTCTGTTATCGCGGGCTCTCTATTATCGCCGCACGCGAAAACACCGGGAAAGTAGAAACACCACGCCCCGCATCGGCTGTTTACATATGCAAATTACGTAAAATATATTCATCGCTCTTGAAAAAGTCATCTATTTCATTGGAATGTTATGTGTAATCGGAGAAATATTAAAGCATTCATCTTTTCAGTAAGTTCTAGAACATTTTGAAACTAGTATGACCCCTACTGCCATTACATCTAGCATGAATCAAAACTTACTTCATCAAAAGCAATCCTGCGACAGCTATAAGGTCATTTGCGTATTTTCCGTTCTAAAAAATATAACAGGAAGTGACGTATTTATGCAACTTCACTCTTTACACGGTAGCAACTTGTATGGTACGTTTTAAGCCGGAAAAACAATATTTTATAACATTATTGTTACCTTGTATCCAAATGAATAGAAGCTTCAGATGTTTGGGTGAGAAACATGATGATATTACTAATGTGAATGAAATTCCTAAATATTTTTAAATGATCAAACTATTTAGATTCGTTACTTGTCTTAGTAAACGTTTCACAGTGTCATCTGCTTGTACCGCGTGCCATAGTAAGAAAAAAGAAATACCGCGATAATAGAGAGTTGCTTCAATTTCCGGGTCAAACGAGGCAATCGGAATTGCCGCAATGGTATTAAACGAGTTGCGACCATGTGTCACATTACTTGTGACAGAAAAGAAGATTAAACATCAGTCAACTGAAAATATATATATAATGCTAAATGTCAGTAGCCGTTCATAATCCCGATGGCAACAACATTAACTACCGCGATAATAGAGGGTCCCATAGTAACTTTAAGATAAGAATTCCTGTGTGCACTGTATAGATATACACATCGAAGAATGTCTAATGGGAAATACTTATGAGGAAATCCAACAAAAAAGCAAGTTTGCACAAATAAATTATTATAAAAGAAATTATCATGATATTCCTTAACGTTTCCTTTTCAACATTTCACTGTTAATGCCTAGTCATGCTTGAAGTTTGCACGATCAACGTCATTTCTAAAAAAAACAATACCAGTTGAAGTTGTGCCTTATGCCTCGCTAGCTGCCTGAATAACACACGATGCAGTGAAGAAGTAGATCGTTCTGAAACTATAAGGGCAAGGGAGATAACCGTTAACTCCCGAAGCAGGTCAACCTGCTTGAATAAGATAATATGTACCGTATCGCAAATACAGTATGGGATACGGGCCTAAAAGTTATGTAAAGGAAATAGTCTTCAACGCCTAATACTGTATGTTTTCACATTGTGGCCATGGCAAAGTGTTTTTTGTGTGTTTTGGGTTTGTTTTTTTTGTGTGTGTGTGTTTATTTTTACACAGTATACTATTTGGAAAAGTATATATTATCACTGGAGGGGCGGTAGGGGTAATTATTTAATGAATGAATGAAGGAATGAATTAAATGGGCGGTGATTAAGGCGTTTACTCGTCACACAGATGACCTGGGTGAAGCCCATTTCTGGTGTCCCCGCCGTGATATTGTTGGAATGTTGCTAAAAGCGACATAAAACCATACTCATTCACTCACTCACTCACTCACTCATTTCTCTGGTTGGCTCTATGCATCCACAAATCATACTGTCAATAATATTTACTGAGAAGCAAGGCTTGATGTGTCTAGAATAAGTCCATACTTACAAATGTAAACAGTTATCGCTCTGCTTTTAAACATAGGCAAAGTCTACAATTTGATAACTGAACAATGATATACACATGTCCAAGATATTTTTATGGATTAAACTTCTTTTTTAATTTCTCTCACGTTTCGAGACCATTCCAGGTCCCTTCATCAGGAATGGTCTCGAAACGTTGTGAGAGAAATTAAAAAAAAAAAAAGTTTAATCCATAAAAATATCTTGGACATCAATGTACAACTTCTAAATGCCACTGAAAGAAATGATATACACAGTTGTGTTCATACCATTTTCTTATCCTTTCAGATTGTTCAGATGGCAACACCCTTCACAATGGCCTACAAAGGTATGTTCCTATCCAGTCGTTTGCTTAAGTTATACAATATTGCTGCATTGAAACTAAACTACTGGGCAAAAGAAAGTTATCCCAACTTCACTTTACCAACAATAGAAACAAAGACGTGTGTGATTTCTTTATGATAATTCTTTTACAAATAGGAATCATTTCCCAATAAATTAACTGAAAACGTATTGTAATGCCGGTCTTGCATTTGCCACAATTCATTTGGAACGAGTCAACTGGTCAATCTTAAACGTAATGCAAATCTGAGTCTTTTCAAAAAGTGCATAAAGAGTCGCATAATGAGACAGGAGTCTGGGGACGCGTCATCAATAGCGAATGTCACCACTCTGAGCACGTCTCCTCTATTGACGTCGTCAGTCGGCAGATGACGTCAGCAGGAATGCTGTTCCGTACGTCCAAGAGAGATTGTTCGGGTTGTGAGGCCTTGCGTGGTCGTGCTGCAAAATGACTCCTCTTGACTCTTGGCTCGCGTAAAGGGCACTAAAAAGAGGTATCAACACTTCATCCCGCTGGGCAACGTCCTTGGATGATAAGCAGTCTTATTATTCTCTGGGCACAAAATGAGTCCATGACGCCTCCACCATCGAATGGATGAAATTTTTGGCGCCAGTCGCTCTCCTGTAGAACCCGAACTCTGCCATTGTACTGAACCAGCTGTGAAGAGTACTTTAAGTCACGTCTTTGCCACCGACGTACAGTTTGTGCCCATTGCAGTCTGCGTTGACGGTGTAGACGGGTCAGGGGCCTTCCAGGGAAGGGGCGGTAGGCTCGTATACCATCCACACCAAGACGTCAAAGGACTGCTCACCTGCTGAGAGCGTGTCCTCGTGCAATCTAGGTAACGAATCTGTTCCGGAGGTGAATCTGCCGGTGTTACCGGTCTTCGACTGGTGTCGTGACTCTTGGTCTTCCCTATCTTAGCTATGGTCTGTTTGCTGGCAGCAGTTTATCAATTTGCTGATGGTGGTCAGGATACAGTCCTTGCCAGCTGACGTTGTGAAGTCCCCATATTGGCCATACCGATCGTCCTGTCTCGTTGTACTTGGGCAAAGTTTGGAATATTCGTGGTGGTGTTTTGATGCTTGCTCTGTCCAACATCGATTCGTTCGAAGTTTTCGGACAGCTTCACTGTTACCGGGACCATGTTGCATTTTGGTGAATGTTTTTGCTTGGGTTCAAACCTGTTTTCGTTTTATGTACAATTACATTTATCATTTATCATTTTGATCATTAGTTCGTCAAGCAGTCAGGAATTAGCGAGCTTCGAGATCATGTACTACTGTTGAGATCAGGACCCTCATACTGTTTTGACACTCATGAAGATCCGGGTCAGAATTCGTCTTGAGCAACCCATGCTTGTCGTAAGAGGTGACTAACGGCATCCATTGCTCAGGCCTGCTCACTTGGTTGACACGTTTTATTGCATCGATGTTCATGCTGTTGATCACATGATGGTCTCGATTATGATTACTTACTGACTGCCGCCATGTGGCTGGAATATTGCTGAGTGCGGCGTTAAACAACAAACCTACCATACTGAACAAAAAACAGACACACTGATACAAATATTTTGCAATTGGTTCTCTTTTTGCAATGACACACACACGTTCCCAATGAATAATCTGGCTATAAAAGTCTGAAATAGGTCCACTATAATGAGTGCCTTGAAAATAACGCTTAGAAATAGTTCTTATCAAGGAGTTCAATTTGCTGTCAACTGATGTAATTAATGTTCTGTTAAGTAGAGTGTCTTAGGACCGCTATTCTCCTTCACAGGAAAAGGTTCCGGTTTTCTGGAGAGGGAAGTTCGAATGGTACTTGTTGGAAAGACTGGAGTAGGTAAAAGTGCCACAGGAAATACAATATGTGGAGCCGGAAAGGGGGCACAGATATTCCAAGCATTAGCGTGGGCAATGTCTGTTACAAAGAAATGTAAACAGCATTCCTTCAAACGTTTTGGGTACGACTTGCAACTTGTTGATGCCCCGGGTTTTGGTGACACAAGCAGATCACCAGAAGACATCCAGAACGAGGTCATGAAATGTGTGGGTATGTCATCTCCTGGAATACACGCCATTCTTTTCATTGTGAGAATAGGAAGATTCACCGAAGAAGACAAAAATGCACTGGAAACATTCCTGAAGTGCTTTGGAAAAGAAGCTAAAAGATTCATCATTGTTGTATTTACTGGGAAGGATGACTTGGACGAGGCCAGTGACACCCTTGACAACTATCTTGGACATATTCCAGAGAGACTGAAACAGTTTCTGTTTGATTCAAGTCTTCGTTATATTGCTGTCAACAACAAAGGGACGGTTAGAGAAAAGGACAAATTTACCAAAGAATTAATTTACAAGGTAACAAGCATGGTTGACAGAAATGGAGGCAAATGCTACACAAATGAAATGTACGAGAGATGTGAAGCTGATCTGCGGGAAGCTGAGAAGATCGAAAAACTTGAAGAAAAGAGGCAGAAGCTACTCGAGGAGGAACTGAAAAAAGAAGCCGCTGACTTGGAAGAAGAGTTAAAAAGACAGCGTATTCAAATGCAAGAATTGGTGAAACAATTTGAAAAAGAACGTAGAGAAAGGGACGAAGCAGATCAGTTGAGAAGACAACTTGAAGCCGTAGAACTGAGACAAAAGGAAGAAGAGGAAAAGAGACGTCTGGATGAAGAAAAGAAACGACAGGCAGAACAAGATGAAGCGTTGGAAAACAGGAGAAGAGAACTTCAGAGACGGATAGATCTTCAGCAGAAACAGATGAAAGAAGATTTTGAGAGTAGGAAAGAGGAGCTGCGACTTGAAGAGGCTCGTAAACAGATACGAGAAAAGATTGAAGATGGCGACAAAAGTTACTTGCAGCGTTTTTGGGGATGGCTGATGGAGAAGCTTCCATGGTAGCCTAACTTAACAACAAGCAAAGGTTAAACGATAGAATATAGTATCATTGTTTTTGGGTGTTTCAAACATATAATTTTCATCACTGTTTACTTTGCCTTTTAACCACCACCTGAATCCGTGAGACAGATAATTACGTTTGGTGTTTGTCTAAAGATTTCAAAGTGCGTCATATTTTTGACAAGATGACAACTGTAAAGTCAAGAACATATCCACATATTGTCCAACCTGAACACATGTTCTTGTTTGTTTTCTTGTTTGTTTATCATTACAATCTGCAATATCACCCGTAGATATTCGAGTCAGAATTGGTCGTCAGCAATCCATGCTTGTCGTAAAAGGCGAGTAATGGGACCGGGTGGTCAGGCTGGCTCGCTGACTTGGTTGACTCATGTCATCGGTTCCCAAATGAGTAACCGGTGAAGGTCCGGGTTAGAATGTACATTCAGCAACCCATTCTTGTCGTAAGAGGCGACTAACGGGGTCGGGTGGTCAGGCACGCTGACTTGGTTGACACATGTCATCGGTTCCAAATTGCGCGGATCGAAGCTCATGCTGTTGATCACTGGATTATCTGGTCCAGACTCGATTATTTACAAACCACCGCCATATAGCTGGAATATTGCTGAGTGTGGCGTATTACTAAACTCACTCACTCACTCACCAAATGAGTAGATTGGTACTCATAATGCTGATCACGGAACTGTCTGGTGAAGATTCGATTATTTACAGACCGTTGTAATATAGATGAATATTGCTGAGTACAGCGTTAAACAACAAACTAACGGCAACCTCGGGGGCGTGGTGGGTGAGCTGGCTATGGTGCCAGGATAGTGATCCAGCGAGCATGAGGTCCCGGATCGAGCCCACCTGTGACCGGGTGTAAAAACCTTGGAGTCAACTTTGTGTGCAGACTCTTTCAGTGTTGTCACAACCCCTAGTGTACAACTCACAACCCTGTGTACTTAAAAGAACTCACGAATCCGTTGGTATATGACCAGATGGTGGCCACATGAATACGTGCAAAAAAAGTTGCTGGTACAGCAACGTGCAGTTAACGTGGACAAAGTAATGTGACTATGTGTCCCAGTCCATCCAGCTGTGAATGGGTACCTCGTAACGATGGGAAAGCCGCACTAACTCGGTGCGCCTTGTGGCAGCAAGAGTTGTATACTCTCCAGGGAGCTGAGACTGATAATAAGATGTGCCGTTGAGATTGACATCCAATGATCGAGGGGGAAAAATACCAGCGCCTTGAGCATGCACTAGTGCGTGGATATGTGCACTATATAAATAACCAATAATAATAAATAACAGTTGCAAGTCCGCGCGCAAAAGACGCGTGTTATCGGGACCCGCACGTAAAATCTCCAAACTGTTATCATCAGGTCACAAGCACCCCACAACAAAACGGAATCACATGAAAACACCGTGCCCAGGGTTCGCTCTCCTTTGAGTGTAAACAGTCCACATTCTAATTATTTGTACTATGTGAATGTGTTTCACTTACTTGGTGTTTTATGGGTGTATTTGTATTAGTTCACATAGTTGAAGTCACGTTGCATGTCTCAGTGTTAGCCTTTATCGTAATAATGTAATTAGAGGCACAATGTCAAACATTTCCGCAATATTTTGGCCCATATTAATTGGGGCACATGTACTCACTTTAGCTTCCTATTCATGCAACAAAAGACTTTTATCCCTTACGACTTGGCTGAAAACGATAATTGAAATTTCGAAGCAAACAGAGAACACTTTCCATATATGGAATGTAAACAACTGTCGCACGCAGTGTTGTCGGTGTTAGTCGAACTGGTTTCAATCACATGTCATTCATAAAGAGCACTTCAAGGAACATAACCCTTGAAATCATGTTCCGCCGGTAGAGGGCTCGAGTGTCCATAAATTCTATATGGTAACTTCCATGAAGGGTGATACTATTATGGGGAGGTATGCATTATATATTTTTAGGGAAATATGGTGTGATATAGTGCCTTTAACCCAAGTAATCATAGCGTTATTTGTATTTATGAAAGACTTCATAATTTGAAAATAACCGACTATACTGTGAATAAGAGGAATCTTTGTTGATACTGTGTAATGTTCATACTGATTTATCTCTTCTTGTTACTAGGGACGAAACATTCTAACACTGATTATCTCCCTTGTGTACAGGTGTATAATCATATTTTTGTATATTTTGTTTAATTGGTTTTGGGTTGTTGTGTTTTATCATTTAGTTGTGTTTTGTGTGCTAAATAATGATAATTATACATGCTAAAAGCTACAGTAGGTGTGGAGTTTAAAATGTCCGGCTAAAGTTGTATGTGCTCTTTGTATAGATAACATTCTTCGCCATTTTTTTTGTTTTGTTTTTGTGTAATTTTCATTTTCATTTTTGCTCCATCAATAAACAGAATTTCGTTAAAACACGGACTTCACACGGTGTTCAGGGATTCTTTACAAGGTTCCTCGCGCAAACAAACGTCTACTACTAAGCGAGTCCTGTTCGTGGTACTGTAAGGAGGGGTCTGATATTTACCGTTACAAAGTGATGAAAAATAGCAATGTCAAGATTCTATACTCATGTCAATAATGGTTGTCACCCCCGTCATTTTTTTTAATTAGAGAGGGGGTATGGGGTGGGGGTGGGGAGGGGGGTGACAACCATTATTGGCATGAGTATATAATAACAAGAGGTGAAGTAAAATGGAGGCTCACGTCGCGTCCAAGATTGCTACAACTTCCATTCAAATACTCATGTCTGCTGAATTGTGTTTGAGTGTGAGTGAGTGTACGTGTGTGTTTGTATAACTGTGTGTGCTTTTGTATTGTGAGAGTTGTGAGTCTTTGTGTGTTTACATAATATATGTGTGGACTTGGGTGTTGGTGTGCGTGTGTGTGTGTGTGTGTGAGAGAGAGAGAGTGTGTGTGTGAATTGTGTTTTGCGCCCGTGTGTATGTGTGTGCGCGCGTATGTACGTGCGTGCGTGTGTGACTGACTGCGTATACTCGTCCGACTGATGTTGGTATTGTGGTGCTGCAGCTTCAGACAGACACACCATACTAGCATTGTGCTAATAAATGCACGTTTTACAATCTGTAAATCCCGAGCGCCTCCCACAGCGGGAGGGCAACGACTTCTGGTTTGAAGCAGCCTTGGAATCGAACCTCCGACCTTCTTCTCTACTGGCAGGCACTCTATCCACCGGACTAGGGAATAACATGTGACCATGTTTTGTCTCTCCCCCTTTCTATCTTAGAAACATATTTGATAATACCTTGTTTTCTGGAAGTAACACGGTACAAAGATAGAATAAGAGAGTACAGTCATTCCTGAATATATGCTTTGTTTAGGTCACAAAAGATGTCACTACAGGTTAGTACCAAGCAAATGTGCATTTTAGTTTAGAAATGATCCATCCTTTTCAACTTGGTATGTACAATTAACAATTACGTTATATTACAAATAGTTTCGCATGGTAAAGTCACATTACAGTGATTTTATTAATCTTTCTTTTAAGAAATATCTGTCTGAATTGCTATAATACCTATTTTGATTCATACCACGTTTTTTTTACTAGGAATAACTATAGATGCCTATTTTAATTGGGTATCATCTCTTTGAATGTGTGAGTGAGTTTTGTTTTACGCATCTTTTAGCAATATTCCAGCAATATCACGGCGGGGACACCAGAAAATGGCCTTCGCACCATCTCTCTGAATTATTTTGTTTTTTTGTTACACAGATAGGACAATCGTTGAAGCGTTAAACCCAAATATATCACTCACTCACTCTTATTCAGTACTGTGGAAATCTTACAATATTTACACCTAAAACATTAGGTCCATCAATGTTCTGGGACTGGCACTAATTCTGTAATTCATACTGTCAATAGATTCTAAATGCTCTATACGCCGCCTGTGTCCACGTACTGTGTCCACATTTAACCACTCAGTGCGGCTGCTGCTGATTATTTTGAGATTTTACGTGCGCTTTGGCACACGGCACCAAATGCGCTGCTTCAGCGTTTGTCATTGCGATTTCAGACCTCTGATTGGCCAAACAGATTAGAGTATATTATATTTATTCAACTATTCATTACGTGACTAATTGAAAGTAAACTGACTATACTGGGCTCAGAAAAATGGTAACGCGATGTCTGTGATGACACTGGTCACATTAATGGAAATAGGCTGAGAAAACGTTTAGACGTTTCCAAGCCCTCTTTATACATCGTGTTATGTTCAAGCGGTTATTTTTGATAGGCAACACAGAAGCATCGTTGGCCAAATTACGTTGCAGTTCTCTCCCTTTGGAGATAGAAGTTGGGAGATATTCGCGTCCCCACTCCATCTGGGTGTAGGTAAGCTTTGTCACAGCCATTGCGTTGGAAGATGAGATACATTGTTTGACTGAGTGTGAATTTTATTCCGATTTACGCTACGAATTGTTCAAGTTGGCTGCCTCAACTGATACCAGCATCTGCAGTAAAATACACAAAGATGCAAAATGATAATCTTAATAAAACCTTAGCCGTAGTTGTAACTGCTTTTCATAAATGGAGGAAACTCCACTATGCAATATACATACTTTTCTCAATTACTAACCTATTTCCAGCATCAAATGTATGTTCTGGCTCTGTGTCATTGGTACCGTGGCGGCTCACCTTGGGACCCGCCCGCAACCACCGCCTTCCTTCTCTCACTCTCCTTCCTCCCCCTCCCCACCGCAGTGATCACGGCCAAGTGCGTGTCAGGAGAGAGGGTGGGTGGGGTGGGCTGCCATGTTGCCGATGTCATAGAGATAGAGCATGCACAGCACCTCAGTGATGCATAAGCATACATGTGTCTTATCGTTATTTACGATTTTATTTATGATATCTATCTGTGATAGTGTCTCGTAAGCCTTATGGCCGGATGGTATACTTTTTAACCGTTTTTTTCTGTGTGACACTTTTTTTAGTAATGTATATCATGTGACACTCAAATAAAATATTATCTTATCTTATCTGTATGGAGTAGGCCACAATCCCAAGCTATCACAACATTCCGACTTCACGGCAGACAATAACAGTAGTAAATGATGTGGAACAAAGTAAAAACTGTGGAAGATTTCAGGCATACGCCTCAATACTAGCAAACGTTGTGTATACAAACCCTTGTTTATTAGCAAACGTTGTGTACGCAATCCTTTTGTTTATCCCCGACGGAAATGCTTTACAGTAAAATACAATCCTCGTGAGTCATTTTGGGAGGTCATCTAAAGATTGTTTTAAAAAACAAAACAACTTTTTTATGATATGAACCCCGACTCGAAATGCTTCACAGTGCATTAAATCATGAAGACCCCAGACACGAAATGCCTCACAGAACAATACAATCATGATTTATTGTACTGTGGAGCATTTCGAGTTGGGGGTCATCTCAAAATATATTTTTTATATCTTTAATCCTCGCAAAGGCACGTGGGCCTGTAACCACTACACACGTTGACAACAGTCTCAGCTGACAGGTAGGTCCTCTACTATGACAGGACCAAACCTAACTCTGTTTGTCCCTGTGTTTCTTTCACTGCTTCTCTTCCCGGGCGATGTGCAGGTCTGTTGGCAGGAGGGAGAGTTATCCGTGACTGGACAGACTCTGACGTCACATGTGATGTACACCGTGTTGTAGTTCCCAGCGAATTTGAACACCTTCATCTGAAAGTCTGTGTGGTGATTGGTTGTCCTGAGGATGTGGGTACCACTGTCTACTGCGCAGCTGGAACATACGGCATCATCGATAAAGGGATGCATTTATAAACTGGTACAATAATGTGATTCCGCCAAAATGAACTGCCATTATAATGTATCTCTGAAACAGAATAATACTAATGCATATGTAACAAAATACTGCTTTGCATAATAATCTGCAATAAAATACTGCTGCAATAATGTACCTCTGAAACAGCTACAATAATGTACTGCTACAATAACATATCTCTGAAAACAAAATACTGCCACTAATGTGAAACAAAATACTGCTACTGCAATCTCTGTAACAAATTACTGCTGCAATGATCTCTGTAACAAATTACTACAATATTGTATCTCTGAAACAAAACACTGCTGCAATTCCATACAATGATAAATACAATATACACTAATACATTAATGCACTGCAACAATGTTAAAACGACACACTTCGCAAAATACGCCCCTACAATAATACACCAACACTCTCATACATAGCTACAATAATACATAGTAACTATTATACAGCAATAACAAATTCCCCAAGATATCATATACCGCTTCAGTTGTACAGCGGTACATTAATACACGTTCATAAAAATACTTTCCTCTGTTAATTCATAATTTCAATCATACAAATTGACGGCTACAATGATACAGGTGTGTACTAACCCTTCCTGAGCGAGGATGTACTTAGTGCTGCTTGTTGTCTCAAGATATGTCGGTAGAGCAAAGCATGACGTCACCACCAGCTTCAAGTCCGAGTCAGCCTGATCCAGCTGTACCCTGGCAAAATAAAACAAATATCTGACATGGCACAGCATCAGGTTATCATCACAGTGATTGTATTCTGACATGACACAGATATCAGGTTATCATGACAGTGGTTGTATTCTGACATGACACAGATATCAGGTTATCATGACAGTGTTTGTATTCTGACATGTCACGGGTATCAGGTTATCATGACAGTGGTTGTATTCTGACATGACACAGATATCAGGTTATCATGACAGTGGTTGTATTCCTGATTATGACACACGCATCAGGTTATCATGACAGTGGTTGTATTCTGACATGACACAGCATCAGGTTATCATGACAGTGGTTGTATTCTGACATGACACGGCATCAGGTTATCATGACAGTGGTTGTATTCTGACATGACACGGATATCAGGTTATCATGACAGTAATTGTATTCTGACATGACAGACACATCGGGTTATCATGACAGTGTTATCATTATAATGGTTGTATTCTGACATGAGACGCATAAGGTTATCAATGGACAATGGTTGTCAGGTTATCATGACAGTGGTTAACATGACATTGGTTGTATTCTGACCTGACATGACTGACATGACATATCAGGTTATCATGACAATGGTTGTATTCTGACATGACACGCATCAGGTTATCATGATGGACAATGGTTGTATTCTGACATGACACAGCATCAGGTTATCACGACAGTGGTTGTATTCTGATTATGACACAACATATCAGGTTATCATGACAGTGGTTGTATTCTGACATGACACAGCATCAGGTTATCATGACAGTGGTTGTATTCCTGACATGACACGCATATCAGGTTATCATGACAGTGGTTGTATTCATTCATGAGACATGACACAGATATCAGGTTATCATGATCGCAGTAATTGTATTCTGACATGACAGCACAAAGGTTATCATGACAGTGGTTGTATTCTGACATGATCACGGCAGTGGTGTCAGACACGGTTATCATGATCAGTGGTTGTATTCTGACATGACACGGGCATCAGGTTATCATGACAATGGACAATGGTTGTATTCTGACATGACAGTTAACATGACATCGGGTTATCATGATAAGTTATCATGGCAGTGTTGTATTCTGACATGACATAATGGATTTGTATTCTGGTGCATCAGGTTATCATGACAACAGTAATTGTATTCTGACATGACATTCTGACGCATAAGGTTACTCGCATCAGGTTATCATGACAGTGGTTGTATTCTGACATGACACGCATCAGGTTATCATGACAAGTGGTTGTATTCTGACATGACACGCATAAGGTTATCATGACAGTGGTTGTATTCTGACATGACACGGGTATCAGGTTATCATGGACAATGGTTGTATTCCTGACATGACAGACACATCGCATAAGGTTATCATGACAGTGGACAATTGTGTATTCTGACATGACACACACGACAATCAGGTTACCATAAGGTTATCATGACAGTGGTTGTATTCTCATGACACGCATCAGGTTATCAATGGACAATGGTTGTACGCATCAGGTTATCATGACAGTGGTTGTATTCTGACATGACACAAGGTTATCAGGTTATCATGACAGTGGTTGTATTCTAGTTTGACATGACACAGATACCAGGTAAGGTTATCATGACATAATGGTTATCATTATAATGGTTTATTGGTTGTAGCGTTATCTGACACGCATCAGGTTAACATGACAATGGACAATGGTTGTTTCTGACATGACAAGGTTATCAGTTGTATTCTGACACGACACGCATAATGGTTATCATGACACGCATGGTTGTATGACAATGACATGACACGCACGCAAGGTTATCATGACAATGGACAATGGTTGTATTCTGACACATCACACACATCAGGTTATCATAGGTTATCATGAAGATGGACAATGGTTGTATTCTGACATGACACGCATCTGTTTATTATTCTGACGCAGACGCAAGGTTATCATGACAAAAGGACAATGGTTGTATTCTGACATGACAGCGCATAAGGTTATCATGGCAGAGTTGTATTCTGATGACACGCATCAGGTTATCATTATAATGGTTGTATTCTGACATGACACGCATCAGGTTATCATGACAATGGACAATGGTTGTATTCTGACATGACACGCATCAGGTTATCATGACAATGGACAATGGTTGTATTCTGACATGACACGCAGGTTAATCATGACGCGGATGATGGTTTCGACATGACACGCATCAGGTTAACATGTAATGGTTGTATTCTGACATGACAGGCTGCATCAGGGTTATCATGACAGTGGTTGTATTTTGACATGACATGCATCAGGTTATCATCATAATGGTTGTATTCTGATAAAATGACATCGGTTATGTCACACAGTGGTTGTATTTAGACATGACACACACAAGAGGTTACCATGGCAATGGCTGCACTTTGGCAGGACAGATGTTGCAGGTTATCATGACAGTGGTTGTACTGTGGCATGAATACAAACTGACATTTAGAAAGAGGTGAAATATAAAACAGCTCTCAGTAAAGTACAGATTCAAGTCCGATTGGAACCTTAGAGGCAGGCACAGCGATTAAGCCCACTCAGCCGTCGATGCATACACCGTGAACTGAACTAAGTAGGTGCAATCGTTCATATAACATGTGTTACACAATAACATGACAAACACATTACCTTATGACGTCAGTGCCTTCACGACATTGTGAACACATCATCGGAAAAATCACTGTATCGTGAATACCACCGAATAAACTGGCCATATATCATGTACTCTATAGAGAGAGTGAGTGAGTTTAGCTTTGCACCGCACTCAGCAATATTCCAGCTATATGGCGGCGGTCTGTAAATAATTGAGTCTGGACCAGACAATCCAGTGATCAACAGGATGACCAGTGATCTACGCAATTGGGATACGATGGCATGTGTCAACCAAGCCAGCGAGCCTGACCACTCGATCCCGTTAGTTGCCTCTTACGACAAGCATGGGTTACTGAGGACCAATTCGAACCCGGAGCTTTCGCTTAGATACCAAACCATTCACTCGTTTCATAAACATGGTACTCCACGGGACATCGTGTAGTATTTTCTGTATATCATATATGTCACCTATATATCATGTATACTAGCGAACTGATTACTATGTATCAGGACTTCCATCGAATTGATGGCTATACATTGGACATCCTACCGAATTGCTGGCAAGACATCATGTATCTTATTGAATGGATGGCTATACATGGTCACACAACAGATACTAGTCACCAAGAATCTGCATAACAAACACGATTCGGCATTTACCAGCATCCCATCTTGTGTTGGTCAGCTGGTCACGCTGGCTGACTTTGTGAGTGAGTATTGTTTTACGCCGTTTTTAGTAACATTCCAGCTATATTACGGCGGGGGTCCCAGACATTATCTTCACACATTATACCATGTGAGGAACCGAACCCGGGACTTCGGCGCGACGAGTGAACGCCCGGAACACTAGGCCCCCTTACCGTGTCCGCTGAAGTGGTTGATACGTGTCATCGTTTCCTCAAAGACCAAGCAGCATATCGGGGCGCTGGGGTAGCCTAGTGGTTAAAACGTTGGCTCGTCACGCCGAAGACCCGGGTTCGATCTCCCACATGGGTACAATGTGTGAAGCCCATTTCCGGTGTCTCCCGCCGTGATATTGCGGGAATATTGCTAAAAGTGGAGTAAAACCATACTCAGTCAGTCAGTCAGTCAGAAGCATACCCCTGGGTGACTGCGTGACGAGCGAACGACTTAACCATTAGGCTAGCCCACCGCCCCGACGTCAATAGAGAACGTGTATATCCTAAGCAGTATATATTATGATAAAACACAAATACAGTGTATGAAACAAGGCCCGTCCGACGGTTCGGATCGGGCTAGATTTCTGACGGACAGTCTAAATTTACAACAAACCAGCCTGATGGTCTGGCAATTTTTTTAGAAAAGTTGTTAAAAGTACATCTGATCTTAAAGTCTATTTTTCAAATTGAGCGTTACATTTAGACTTGACAATTACTGCTTAAATATTGAACTATCGTATCGCAAGCTCAAAGCACTGCGTTGACATATTATCACTAAAACAGCGACACCTATCGACGCGCGGAGTCGGATTTCTCTGAAAAAGACTGCTAAGGCAGTAAATACATGTCTCCGGTTCATTGAATTATTCATTGTAACAAAACAATTAGCTTTTTCTTTGGATTGTCTGGCCTGGTTCAATTCAATTTGGGCTGGTAACATTTTGAAGTTACTAGCCCTGATGTCTGACTGGGTTTTTGGCTTATTTCATACACTGACAATAATCTCGTCGTTTTATTGCCCCCTGTTTACCTGAAAAAGAGATCCTCCCCGAGTCTCTTCTGTGGAGCTGTGAACTGTCTGATAGTCATCGCCTGGTCTTCGAAAACACTGATGCTTGTCGGGAAATTCTGCTGTACCCGGATATGACCTTTGACTTCCCTGCTCATGCGTTCCACTTCGGATCGTCTTCGCGTGCCTACATCCGGGTATGGATGGTAGTGGATGGAGAAGGATTCAGAACGAGGCACGGAGCACGTGATAGGTATCTTCCATCTCTCACCTCTGACGATGTTGTTTGACTCGGTTGCGAATATTCTGTCCACGAGGAAGTTGGTGTAGACGTGTCTGTCTGTCTCTGTCTGTTAAAGATACAACACTGAGCTACAGTAATTTGGATATTAAAGGGGTGGTGTGGTGGGGTACTGGGGAAAGTATTGTGGAGCGCAATTGTGCAGTGGTAAGGCGTCTCCCTGAAGGCCCGGGTTCGATCCCCGGTGGAGGCACCTAGGTTCGGGTCCCGATATGGGCACATTTGCGTAGTATCCTTGGACAAGATACTTAGATCCACATTGTCTCAGTTCACCCAGCTGAAAAATGGGTACCCGTGAGGATGGGCTAGCAATGTGAGTGTGTAGTTCATTGCGCCTAACAGGCAGCATGGCTGTATGGTCCTCAGGGAGTTGAAAAGGTATCGCAAAGTACGATAGTGTCCTATGACCGGAGATAGTCATGTACGTAGCGTCGTGAGCAGGCAATGCGCCTGCATATGAGCGCCACATAAGCAGATTATTACTATTACTATTACTATTACTATTCGCTCATGACGCCGAATGCCCTGGTACCTTTACCTACGTGATGCAACACGTGAAGTGTTTTCTTGGTGTTCACCGCCGGGATATGTCTGGGATATTGCTAACAGCAACGTATGAGAGGGAGTCAAACTCGGATCTTCGACGTGACGAGGGAACAAGAACCCTCATCCCATTACTCTTGTTCTACTGTCCCTTCTAATTCTGATTGTCTCACTCACTGTGCATCAGGTCGTCTTTCTTTGTCCCTCTTACACTTCCTTTTTCATCGCCCGAGCGACATACACACGCACGCACACACACACACGCACACACATGAACGCATGCACGTACGCACGGACATACATAAGTCAATGATCTTTCCACTATAATCGTTGGATTTTACTACAAGATCGATTGAATATAATTGTTTTTTGGGTTTTTTTTGCTTTTGTTTCTTTCTTATTTAACTTTCAGAGCAACACACAATTGTTTGGTTAAGAATGAAAAGCGACATAGAAAATAAACCCTCAAACGGGGTAGTTTGTGGCCCACTGAAAAACTGCAGTATTTCAAAACAGTATTTAATGGCTCTTTAATCATCAACATTTCCCAGCCTTGAGCAGTGGACGTAACATATATTTCATGAAGTATATTCTATTTACGTCCCTGCTAAGGGGTTATTCTACGAAAACAAGACACTGTGAAAACAAAAGGATGACGTCACTTTGGGTTATGTCGCCACACACCTACCTTGACAATTGTCCCGCAGGAATCGGCGTCTGTTTTTATGACGATGTTGTCGTTGATAATGGTGCCGGTACAGGAGGAATCAGCCAGAGCGATGGTTCTCTCTGAGGAAGCTGGGTAGAGTCGCTTCAGGAAGGTGAGGTCAATCTGGATATTGAAAGTCCCCGCGTCACACGACATGTTGACGACATCCTGCACCAACGCCGCTGTAGATGACAAAGTGACCTTGACAGTGCCGCCAACATACGTTTGCATAATGTTCACAGCTATTATATAGTGTACAGTACAGATTGTATAACAACGGCATTTCATACCTGACATTATATCTCAGGCAGGTGTGCATAGAGTTAACGGAAGGATATACTGGATGTTGCTGCTTGTAAAGATAATTAAGCGTCGTGCCCTAGGGGTAGTTGGTTGGTTTTTTAGTGCCCCACTCAGCAATATTCCAAACAGTTTGTATATAATCGAGTATAATCGGACCACACAATCAAGTGATCAAGAGCATCAGCTTCGATCTACGCAATTTGGATATGATGGCATGTGTAGACCAAGTCAGAGAGTCTGACCACCCGATCCCGTTAGTCGCCTCTTGCAAGCATGGGTTACTGAAGATCAGCTCTAACCCTGTTCTTCACGGGTCTGTGTCATAAGGCACTTTATAAGGATGTATATAAGCTCGTTTATTCGAGTTGTTTAATTATTTGTACGTGTAATAAATAAACCAGTCAGATGGGAATGTATACTATCAGTTTAAGGACATCACACTCAACGCCCCTGAGACAGCGAGACATCGCCATTTGCAGTATCTGAAATAAGCCAAAAACCCAGCCAGACATTAGGGCTGATAACTTTTAAATGGGTTTTACAGAACAGACAGTCCAAGAAAATATCAACTCAATCTTTGGAGTGAGTGAGGAGTGAGGTGAGTGAGGAGTGAGTGAGGAGCGGAGTGAGTGAGTGAGTGAGTGAGTGAGTGAGTGAGTGGGTGGGTGGGTGGGGTGGGTGGGTGGGTGGGTGGGGTGGGTGGGTGGGTGGGTGAGTGGAGTGAGTGAGTGAGTGAGTGAGTGAGTGAGTGAGTGAGTGAGTGAGTGAGTGAGTGAGTGAGTGAGTGAGTGAGTGGAGTGAGAGAGTGAGTGAGTGAGTGAGTGAGTGAGTGAGTGAGTGAGTGGAGTGAGTGAGGGAGTGGTGGAGTGGTGAGTGAGTGTAGTTTTCGCCGCGTTAAGAAACATTCCAGCAAAATCACGGCAGGGATACACCAGAAATTGGCTTCACGCATTGTACCCGTGTGGGGAATCGAACCCGGGTCTTCGGCGTGACGAGCGAATGCTTGAACCACAAGGCTACCTCACGACCCCAGTTTTATCGCCTCGGAAGATTGCTCATTAAACCAATCACAGAACAATCTGATCCAGACCCAAAACCAATAACGAAGTTTTCTACTTCCCTCGGTATGTCTAATTTGTACGTTGAAGTACTCACGGCTCCACGTGGCTTGGAAACCGCCCATGTTGTTGGAGCCGTCGGTATCGAAGCTTACGACAAAGGCCTTGCCGAGGAGGATGGGGGGTTTGCTGCTGCCGCTGTAGGTGGAGCCACCGACTGGGATGCTGGAGGAACTGTTGAGTGTAGCGACCTAGAAAACAGTATAGATGTTTTTATAGGAATGATCCCACAATGATCAAATTAACACATTTACATACAAAAACGTCAGTGGTACCTATATGTACAATGTCACAACAGGGCTCTGTCTTGAAGTCAGTGTGGTACCTGGGTATGAACAACGACACAGCAGGACTCTGTCTTGAAGTCAGTGTGGTACCTATATGTACAATGTCACAACAGGGCTCTGTCTTGAAGTCAATGTGGTACCTACTACATCACAACATGTACGATGTCACAACAGGGCTCTGTCTTGAAGTCACTGTGGTACCTACATGTACAATGTCACAGCAGGACTCTGTCTTGAAGTCAGTGTGGTACCTACATGTACAATGTCACATCAGGCCACTGTCTTGAAGTCAGTGAGGTACCTACATGTACAATGTCACAGCAGAACTCTGTCTTGAAGTCAGTGTGGTACCTACATGTACAATGTCACAACAGGGCTCTGTCTTGAAGTCAGTGTGGTACCTACATGTACGATGTCACAACAGGGCTCTGTCTTGAAGTCACTGTGGTACCTACATGTACAATGTCACAGCAGGACTCTGTCTTGAAGTCAGTGTGGTACCTACATGTACAATGTCACAACAGGGCTCTGTCTTGAAGTCACTGTGGTACCTACATGTACAATGTCACAGCAGGTCTCTGTCTTGAAGTCAGTGTGGTACCTACATGTACAATGTCACAGCAGGACTCTGTCTTGAAGTCACTGTGGTACCTACATGTACAATGTCACAACAGGGCTCTGTCTTGAAGTCAGTGTGGTACCTACATGTACAATGTCACAACAGGGCTCTGTCTTGAAGTCAGTGTGGTACCTACATGTACGATGTCACAACAGGGCTCTGTCTTGAAGTCAGTGTGGTACCTACATGTACAATATCACAGCAGGACTCTGTCTTGAAGTCCGAGAACTCCAACTTGTACAGCTGGCCGGTGTTGGTGGGACGGATGATATAGAGACAGTGGACGTTCCGAGGGTAAGGCTGGGGGTAGTTGTCAGACTGCAGGGTGCCCGCCTCACTGGAGTACTGGTTTCCACAATCTGTAACAAAGGGCTGTATCAGGTTGGGAATGTAAGGTGGGGGCACACCATTCGTTGTATTAACTTCACAAGATTTACAGCGTTTCCAGTGAAGGTACGACGACACGATTTGTCCCGCCATATACTAGGACTTTGTACGACACTGTGTTCTTCAAGTAATGTAAACGGTGACGAATCACGTTTGGAAAAAAACTTTCATGAATAAATACTGAACCGTTATAATAGAACACTGAGACAATAATTTGGGGTTTGGGATTTTTACAGAATCCTATTTTTAGTAAAGTACTAACTATAACACTCTCATCGCATGGACAATATTTTTAATTACTATAACACTCGACGCCTGCTTGGCCAACATTATATTCACTATAACACTCGACGCCTCAATGGTGAAAATTGTATTCACTATAACGCTCGGCGCCTGAATAGCCAACATTGTAGTAACTGTAACAGTCCAAGCCATAATAGTGAACGTTGTACTCACTATATAACGCTCGACGCCAGCATGGCCGACATTATACTCACTATAACACATTGTACTCACTATAGCAGTCGACGCCAAACTGGTCAACATCACACTCACTAGAACTCTCGACGCCCTCTTTGGCAAACTTGTACTCAAAATAACGCACGACGTCCGACTGGTCAACATTGTACTCACTATAACGCTCGACGCCTCAATGGCCAACATTGTATTCACTATAACGACCGACGCTTGAATAGCCAAAATTGTATTAATTATAACGCTCGACGCCTGCTTGTCAAAATTATATTCACTATAACGCTCGACGCCTCAATGGCTAACATTGTATTCACTATAACATTTGATGCCTGAATAGCCAATATTGTATTCACTATAACGCTCGACCCCTGAATAGACAACATTGTACTCACTATAACGCTCAACGCCCTATTGGTCAACATTCTACTCACTATAACACATTGTACTTACCGTTACACTTGACGCCTGCTGGGTCAGCATTGTACTCACTATAACCACATTGTACTTACCATTACACTCGACGCCTGCTGGGTCATCATTGTACTCACTATAACACATTGTACTTACCATAACACTCGACGCCTGCTGGGTCATCATTGTACTCACTATAACACATTGTACTTACTATTACAGTCGACGCCTGCTGGGTCATCATTGTACCTCACTATAACACATTGTACTTACGCCATTACACTCAACGACTGCTGGGTCATCATTGTACTCCACATTATAACGCCATTGTACTTACCATAACACCTCGATTAGACTCGACGCCTGCTGGGTCAGCATTGTACTCACTATAACACATTGTACTTACCATTACACTCGACGCCTGCTGGGTCAGCATTGTACTCACTATAACACATTGTACTTACCATTACACTCGACGCCTGCTGGGTCAGCATTGTACTCACTATAACACATTGTAACTTACCATTACACTCGACGCCTGCTGGGTCAGCATTGTACTCACTATAACACATTGTACTTACCATTACACTCGACGCCTGCTGGGTCAGCATTGTACTCACTATAACACATTGTACTTACCATTAGACTCGACGCCTGCTGGGTCAGCATTGTACTCACTATAACACATTGTACTTACCATTACACTCGACGCCTGCCTGGTCAACATTGTACTCACTATAACACTCGACGCCCGCTTGGTCACACGATGTCTGCGCGGGAGTGACCCTCGTGGCCGGACAAATGGATATGTCTGTCTCAGTCCCCACGCAGGTGGTGCTGGTGATGATGGGAGGGTTGGCACTGCGACCGTACTTAGCATCATTGTGTGCAAGCCCACCCTGGGACCTGGTTGTGGAAGACCATTAATAACCTTAGGATTCTCTTACATTAATAGTAGGGGTGAAACAATGCAGCAAGGTCAAAATACGGCACGTATCACGGTATGATACGTATTGCAATACGCATATTTACGTCTAATCGTAAAGAACAAAGAAAAATTTGACTGACAAAAACGCTGGAGGGGTGAAACGATGCAGAAATGTCAAAATACCGTACGCTTTCACAGTGCACAAGTCACGATATGGTACATATAGCGATACGTATGGTAACGTCTAATCGTAAAGAACAGGAACGTGTGAATAATTGACTTATAGTATGGGTGAAAAGATGCAGCTAGGTCAAAATAACATACGTAACACAAAGTAGAAGTCACGATATAATGCGTACGTATGTTTACGTCAGAGACCATATCTAGTTTACATCTAGTAGTAAAGAAACGGGACGTTTTTAACATATTTGACACAAAAAACGCGGGGTTTTGGTTGGGTGTGATTCAAAGCAGAAATTGAAACGTTTTGTTTCCCAAGGAAGCCCCGCGTTTTTTATTGATAATTTTTCCAAAACGTCCGTTTCTTTACGATAGATGCCAAACTGGATGTAATGATTAACAGTGTAAACTATGCATTGCCGTTATGTCGTGACTGCAACATTGTTACGTATTCTTCACCCATATAACAAGTCAATTATTCACGTTCTGATATTTTACGATGAACGATTACCATACATCGCTATGCTACTACATCAAACGAACTTATGCGCTAATGAGCGTACGTATTTGGCTGTTCTGTACCGTTTTATCGATCAAATTTCTTTCTTTACGACCAGGCATAAAATATGCGCCATTACGAACCGCATCATACCGTGATTCGATACCTATTGAACTGCTGCTGCGATTATTCTATTAATGTGGAAAATCTGAATTGGTAATGGTCTTCCGCAATAGATCCCGAAGTGGTTGCCTGATATGATAAGTACGATAAACATCATCACCAGCACTGCGTGGGGACTGGTTTTGAACATCGATATTTTTTTTGAATTCCGCGCGGCTATCGACGAATTAGCGTCAATGTTATAATTGATGCAATGTTGACCGAACGGGCGTCGTGTATGAACGAATTGATATTGATTATGGTAATTGTCTTGCGACCGCGGGCGTCGATAACGAAGTACAATGTCGATTATGGTAATTGTGCTTTGACTGGCGAATCGTCAGCGGCTACAATCATCGACCGCCAGCGAAACCGCAATGACCGTGGTACAATATTATGGTGAACGACGGCGATCAGTATGGTAGATACAATGTGTTATAATTGATTACAATGCTGACGGCGGGCGCGTCGTATAAATATTTCGAAACTATCAGACCGCTGGTGGTACGGCAATGACCCGGCGATAAATGATGCATGACCGAAGCCTGATAATCGTTATGACAATGATGCCCGGCGTCGTTGATAACGATAATGAAATTACAATATTATTCGCCAATTGATACGATGATGACGGCGAGGCGTCGATATTACAGTAATGATCATAATTGATACGGCAACGAGCGTCACGAAATGATTATGGCTGAACTATTATTGTTATATTGATGCAATGATGACGGCGATCGTGTGATAGTAAAGGCCTATTATTGATTATGAATGATACGACCAACTGACGAAATGTAACGTGAAACACAATGTTATAGTGGTAGAGATGACCGACCAATAGGCGTTATTACAATGTTGCTGATCGAACGTCGTCGCGTTATTAACAGTCACAATATTTATTCAGCATCAAATGATATAGTGAATAAATGTTAACCGATGGCGTCGGCGATATAGTGGTATTTTTAGCAACGGGCGATCGTATATTAAACATTTTGGCTTGTTCGGGCGTCGGTGTTATGGTAAATTACAATGTTGACCGTTAACGTCGAGCGCAATGATTTACAATGTTGACCGGTCGAACGTCGTGCGTATTACAGAAGTTGCCAGAACGTCGACGAATTGACCGGTTGGCGTCGCTTTGCTGTAATTGGTGTCTGTTATGGTATAATGTCGACCGTAACGGCGTCGGCGTTCCTGCGAATGATGCGGCGTTCGCTATTATGGCTTGGACTGTTACGGTCCAATGTTATCCGGCTTCATAGTGATGCAATTTTTCGCCGTTGGCGTCGTGACCACAGTGAATATAATGTTGACCGAAGCGAGATGGGAGATGTTGTAACCGGTGAAAAGTATTGATGGCGATAGTGTTATGGTGTGCTGCCAAAATGAAATTACAGGCCCCAGGTATTATGCTCGATGACTACTATAACAACGTGTTTATTCGTAATTTTTCAAACGTGATTATCACCGTTTATTGAAAGGTTTGGTGTCTGCAAGTCTGGTATATGGCGAGGCAAATTTCACTGGGCTTCAATCTTTATTGAGTTAACGGCAGATGGTGATGCCCCCACCCATTCCCCAACCTGTTTGACCGCTTTATGTGAATTGAAGCCATCCCGATCGGCAACTTTGACACCCTCGGGGCGATCCGCTGTCTCTATCGTCAGATCACCAACGCCATTTCAGCTGAGTTGAGTTCTCGGATACTAACATGACCTGCGTATTGATACCGCACCGACGCGGGGCCCACTGTTGTGACATGGGTACCTCGCGTTTGAACGCTATTTGGCATTGGCTACGTAGCCCAGGCCTTTCACTGACGAACGGCCTGTTGTGACGTGTATGGTACCACGGTGACTTCGAAGACACGAGTCATAACATTGGCATTGGGCTAAATAATTACGGCGGGAACGGTGATACTAACAATGACATTATTGCCTGTGGTACAACGGTGACTTCGGAACAGAGACCTGCTGTGAACATTGGTAATGTGGAGGCCGCTGACTTCGAACGATTGACTGCTGTGACATTGTACGTAGCCAGGCAGCAGTGACTTTGAACTGGTGACATTGTACAGGTACCGCGCCCGACTTCTTCGTGCGTATGAGTGCCGCATATTTCGGGTGAGTTATAACTCGAGCATTAACGTAACTCGCTCGCTCGCTCGCTCGCTCGCTCGCTCGCTCGCTCGCTCGCTCGCTCGCTCGCTCGCTCGCTCGCTCTTTCGCTTTCGCTCGCTAATTATAATGTCGGTATGGCGCCTGATAACGACCCGATACTGATACTGGCGCTGGCCCGCTACATGCTAGCTGTTAACATTTTTGCAGGCTTTCTGTTGGCGGCATAATCAGGTACTTTGTCGTCTGGCGGCGTGATGCGGGATGTCGTCAACAATCGATGACGCAGTTTAATGTCAGATGATCACCTTCCTGAGCATTTCTGCCCGGCTTTCTCAGAGAACTTCTGTTGTTCACTCTGCGCCGGCACCGTCATCAGCGACGGCATCAATAAAAACAGACGCCGATTACCGGACTGTTCTTCGGGTAGTGATGGCGACATAACAGTGACGTCATCCTTTTGTTTTCACGGTGTCTTGTTTTCGTGGAATACTATCTTGGCGGGACGTAAACGGGGTATACTTCGTGAAGGTATATGTTGATCCTTTAACTCCAGGCTGTTGATGATCAAAGTCGCGTGGCTGACTGGTGTTCGCTGCGGTTATTTTTCGGTGAATTACAAACTGTTGAAGGTTTATTCTTATGTCGCTTTTTCGTTCTTAACAGGCTGATTATTGTGTTGCTCTGAAGACGTGAAATAAGAAGAGAACAAAACAAAACGAAACGATTACATATTCGATCGATCTTGTAGTAAAATCAACGTTAACAATGGAAGATCATTGACATGTGTCGTAACCGACATCGTGTCGATATTATATCGGTACCGAACAGGTGTGGAAGGACGGAGCGACCTGATGCACGGTGGACTGTCGAGTTGAACATTGGAGTAATGGGGGATGAATGATTCCCTCGTCGTCGAGTTGTCCCTCATGCGTTGCTGACCAACGATGTCGAGAACATTGTTGGTACCGGAAACGCTTCGCGTCATTGGGCTGGAACCGGAGACGTTCGTCATAATGGTAATAATTGATGATAATCTGTATTTCGTATCTGGGCGTTACCTTCTTTCACGCTGCGTTTATGACTTATCCCCGGTCATGGAACATGGCGTGCTGCCTTTCCTCCCTGAGGATATGCGGCCATGCTTCTGACCCTGCCGGCATCTCGCAATTTGCCATTTTCGGGTGAACTGGATATCGGATCTAAATATCGTCAGATACTAAAATATATCCGGTTGTTTTCTTCCGCAGGCCTTCGGCATTGATGAACGCTTACCGCCGCTGTTGCTCACGATAACGTGCCGCCACGCCCTTTATTATCCGAATTACTGAAATGATTATCGCGCAAACGAACGAACAGAACCGCGATCACTTTTCCTCAAATCAGGCAAAATCAATACGCAAAACCGGGGATTTCGAAACTAACATCAAAGATGTCGAAGATATCATAATGCTCGTTGGTTCTCCATCCGCTACCGTCACCGGATCGGCGCGAATTGAACATGGTTTGATGAATCGGAACGAATTCCCGACAATCGGTGTTTTCGAACCAGGCGATGACTTCGGACAGTTCACGGCTCCGCAAATGGGGAATCTCACGAGGTATTATAAAGGCTGTCGATTAATGGTCGTAGTGGTATCGGTGTTACCGGCAAATGAGGTGAACACTGATGCAATGGTAATTCAATCCGCTATGTTGCTGTCTTCAGCGATCCTTCGAAAAATTGACACCGGAATGATAATATGTCGGCGCAGTGTACGTTGACAATTTAAACGTATTGTCGAGTCACAAATGTAACGCTCAATTTGTGGGCAGATAACCATTGGCATGTTGTCTAAAATTTGCCGAACCATCGAGCACAGTTTATTAAGACGTCCGTCGAAAATGGCGACGATCGGCTGAGCTTTGACTGCTGGCGGTGGCTATTGTCATAATATACTGCGTATGATATGCGTTCGCCTATCAGGCATCCACATGGACGGCCTGGTGTTGAAGTCGGCATCGCACCCAGTGTTGCTGCTGCTTTATAACGACGCTGACGTAATGGCAACCGCTCGGCGGTAGCAGGCCTTCTGTTCGAGATCTCGCATGTCTGTGAACTTCTGTTGCCCCGCCTTATGATATTTAAAAGCGACGTGTAATGCTCGCTCGCTAAGAATAAACGGCATGGCACCTCGGCGGTGCTGTTGTGCCGGGTGAATCTGTTGTGTCATAGCCATTCAGCGTAAGAATGCATGTTCTTCCGGCAATTCGACAGCAATTCGATGAGTCTGATGCATTTAAACGCCTGATATAGGTAACAATGCGGTGCCAAACGATATGTAGGTGGTGCCATGTTTATGAAACGAAGTGAATATGGTTTGGTATCTGGCGAGCGAAAGCTCGGGTTCGAGCCGATTCTTCGGTAAAACGTAACTGTCGTAAGAACAGCTAACGGAATCGGCGCGATTTTATGCCATCATCTCCCCGAGCTGCGTACCAGATCAATGATCATGCTGTTGACCGACGCCGTAACTGGAATGTTTCCGCCCGGTGCGGCAAAACAAACTCGCTTTCGCTCTCGACCAGAGGCCATCGATGCGCCAACGGTTATTCATTGACGATACGTTTCGACTGCATCATTGATGTGTTGCAATGCGTGCGGTCATAAGAGATGTTTGTCATGTTGGTAACGCGGTATAACGATTACACCCGGATCGTTCACGTGGCGTCGCTTGGTGATTAATGGCTGTGCTTCTTTCTGAGTTCAATCGAGACTTTCAACTTTACTGAGCGTACTTGCTGAGAACTGTATTATGTTTACAAATGATAAGTTTTGTCGACTAAACGCGGTACCTTGTCGCTTAAACTGTCCGTATCGTGCTGAAATATCGTTGACGCAACACTCATGCGGCTGTCGCTATCGTGCTGGCCATTGTCATGATAACTGTTGCGGCTGTCTTCAAACGCTACTGTCGTCTGTGCGGCTGTCGCTATCGACGCTGGCTACCGTGTCGCTTACGATGCGCTTTGTCATATGCGCCATCGTCGCTGATAACGATGCGACGAAGCCGTTATGATGCCTTATTGTCGATCAACCTGATGCGGCATCGCTGTCTGCTGGCCATTGTTAATGATAACTGTGCGTATCATGACGCCTGGCTTTGTCGCTGTCGTTGCTTTGAAAACATCGTTACTTTGTTCATATCGTACTGAAGCCATCGTCATGTTGATGCGGCTGTCATCTTCGGCCATTGTCGTAACCTGTGCGTATCTGCTCAATGGAATAAATGATGACCTGATGCGCTTTGTCGCCTTCGTGCTGGAACCGTCGTCGTGGCTTTTGTGCGGCGATGTATCGTGCTGGCCGTTGTCGTAACAACACTGATGCGGCTTTGTCGTATCAAATTGCTGAAGCCGTCGTTATGTTCTGGCCTGATGCGGCACTGTCATATTCGTGCTGGCCATTGTCGTAACCTGATGGCGGCGATATCGCTGAAGCCGTCGTTATGACGTATTTTGTTTGGCGCTGATATTATCACCGCTGAAACCATCGTCATATTCAACTTCGATCGCGTCGCTCATCTTCCGAGCATTGTCGACTGCGATGCGGCTGTCTGCTGAAGCCGTTATAGATGACTGATCGCCAATCATGCCATTGTCATGTTGATGCGTCTGGAAGCCGTAACCTGATGCGGCTGTTTATCGTGCTGAACCGTCGTTATGATGCTGATGCGGCTTTGTCATCGTCTTTGCGTGATAACGATGCGTTTATTAATGTCGTCGCTGGGCCGTTGTCATGATGGCTGTCATCGTGCTGAAGCCGTCGTCTGACGGCTGTCGTGATATCGTAACGATTAGTATACCTTCGTGCTGAACCGTTGATAATGACAATGATGCGACTTTGTCGTCGTATGGAATCATCGATGACGATTTGTCGTCGTATGGGTGTCATGATGACGATGCGCTGTCTTCGTTATGATGACGATGACTGTCGTGCTGGAGCCGTGATAATGATGCGACTGTCGTATCGTCAACTCCGGGCCGTTGCCATGATGATAAACTGTCATCGTGCTGAACCGTCGTCATGTTGTGCGTATCTGCTGGCGTTGTCATGATGACCTGATTGACTGTTGCTGGCCGTTGTCGTGATGACGATTGTCATATCTTATGACCTGATTAAATGTCGTCGTTATGATGTTTGATCGACTGACCGTCGTTATGATGATGTCGTGCTGGCCGTTGTCGTAACGATATCGTCGAATGCGTCGTCGACCTGATTATCGTTGCTGGAGTCGTCATGATGCGATATCGTGCTGATGATATGATATTCATCGTTATGATAACCAAACTGATCGTATCGACTGATACCGTCGTTATCGATGATGTCGTTCTGATGACGGACGATCTTCATCGTCGCTGGTCGATGATCATCGATGACCTGATAATCGTCAGCCGTCGTCGATGGTCATATCGACTGGACGATTGTCGTCATCTTTGATGATGATCGTCGTTATCGATGATTGATCGTTGTCGTCATCGATGATGTCATCGTCAGATTGATGATCGATGACCTGATATCGTCGTCGATAAATCATGATGATGATGATGATCTTCAATCATTCGATCATATCGATGCTGGTCGTCGATCATCGATGATTGATCATCGATGATGATATCATATGACGATCGTTATGATGATGCGACTGTCATATCATCGATAATGACCGTTAATGCGTATCATATCGTCTGGATATCGATAATGATAATCGATGCGATGATAATATCGCTGGATAAATCGATCGATAACGACTGTCATCTTATGGATATGATTGATGATCAAACTGTCGTCATCGATGATGATGCGTCGTATCGACGATAAACTGATATCGTGCTGAAACCGTCGTCGATCTGATTAAATAAATGATCGTCGATAACGATGCTATCGTCTTCGATTGATGACCTGATGATCGCTATCGTCGATGATGATTCGATATTGTTATGATGACGATGATAAATTGACCGTCATCGATATGATGATCGTCGTTATATCGTACTGATCGTCGTTGATAACGATGCGTGATCTTCGATGATCGTCATCGATGCTGATGTCGTCATGATGAATATGATGACTGTCGTAATGCTGATGTCGTTAATGATCATCAATCGTCATCGACGATTATTTCGTCTGGAATGATCATCGATATATTCGATTCGATAACCGCGGCTTTGTCGCTTCGTACTGGCCATTGTCATGACTTAACCTGACAAACTTTGTCTCAACCATCGTTATGACTAACCTGACGGCTTTGTCATATCGTATTGTCATGATAACTACGATGCGGCTGTCATATGGCTGCTGGAAATCGTTATGATAATACCAGATGGCTTTGTCGCGCCGTTAACAGA